CCAGTTTCCTGGCTAGTTAGCGAAGTGACAAAAATAAGGTTATGGGGAAAGATGTTATGAATTTAGTTTTAGACATGTATAATTTTTTGCACCTGAGAAATGTCTAGGGAGTACTGTGTGTCCAGAACTCAGAACTCAGAACAAGATTTTAGCCAGGCAAAGTGGCACATGGCTTGTAATCCCAGGTAGTTGGGAGGCTGAGGCAGGAGGATTTTCAGCTCAAGGCCAGCCTGGACAATTTAGCGAGAACCTCTCTCAAAATAAAAAACAAGAAAAGGACTTGGGGATAAAACTTGGTGATACAACACTGCTGGGTTCAATTGCTAGTATTGCAAAACAAAAAATCCACCAGATTTTGGAGTCATCTCCAAATACTCCATACTCCATACTCCTTGACTTATGATGGGGTTATGTCCTGATAAACTTATGGGTTGAAAATACTGTATATTGAAAATGCTTTTGATACACCTAACCTATGGAAACTTAGTAGCTTAACAATCAGTACACTGAAGGGAATTGACCCTTTCCCTTTGTGACTTTGTGGTTGACTGGGATTTCGGGCTGGCTGACAGCAGCATACCACATATTGCTAGTCCGGGAAAAGATCAACATTCAGCATTTGAAGCTTGGTTTTCCTGAATGCTTATCATTTTCTTGCCATCATATGGTTGAAAAATCGTAAGTAGAATGATTTTAAGTTGGGGACAGTTGGTAGTTACATTTGAAGCTTTGGGCGTGTATGAGAGTGCCCAAAGAGAAAGCATGTGGAATGAGAAAATAAGAGGGTTGGGGATAGAATGCTTGGAAACACCATAATTTAGGGGGCTGGCAGCAAAAGAGGAGCCAGCCAAGAAACAGGACAGAAGGATGTCACATAAGCATTGCGGAGAATAAGAAGCACAATCAGCATTATTAAATGATGCTGAGAGACTGAGCAGATGAGAATAGGAAATGGCCCTTTAGAAAAATTACTAGTAGGAAATGTGTACAAATATCAATAGATTTATTCCCAATTGGCGAGATCTTAGATGGCTTATCTTCTTCTTACAATTTCTCTAAAATTTTCTGAATTCTATACAATAAATACCAGTTCCATTCCTGTTAAAAAGTTATTAAAATATAAAACAAATTCTCAGATAAAGCCTAAAATATTTAATGAAAACGTGAAGAAAAGAGCAAGTAATTATTTACTCTCTAGAATTTGAGTGCCTATGTGCCGGGTCCCAAGCTAAAGACAAAACAAAGAATGGAGAATGGCTCTGCTCTTTCACAAACAGGAAAGCAGCTGGTTTGGCAAGTGAGGGGTTTGCACAGGGTTCAATGGCAGGGGATGAGACTGCAGAAGTCGTCTGCCACCAGATTACAATGGACTTTATGTGTCTTATCAAATAATACTGCTTTATTCTGAGAGCTGCTGAGAGGTTTTTAAGGGGCAAAGAGAAGGCTGGAATTGGGCTTTACCTAAGTTTATCTTCCTTTCTTTCTCCTTCTCTTCCTTCCTTCCTCCTCATTTTTTTTTTTCAACAGTCAAAGAGGTAGGATTTATTCAAGTGTGAAGAACAGAAACAGAACTCTTGCAGGGGCAAGACGGTACCCCGTTAAGGGGTGCCCACTGAAGTTGACTTTCTACTTAACTTGGGAAACAGAATGGCTGCAGGCCAGGAGGAGTCCAAGGAGAAAGACAGGAGGCATGGTTCCCAGGAACTGCAACAACTCATGGCAGTTCCTCAGGGGCAGGCCGGGCGTAGAAAAGTGGGCATAGCATCAACAGGTCAATAGGATATGACTGATTGGATGTATATTACGAATACAACTGATTGGATGTATATTATGGGAAGGAAAACATCAAGAACATCTGGTGTGTGTTTGGGGAGTCTGTGAGCAACTTCTTTGTGCTTATCAAGGACCATAAGTAGGGGAGTGCCCTTTACTGAAACAAGGAAAAGATTGTGTTTACAACAGGCACATCTTCTCTTCTTCTCCACTGCCCTTTTCCTCCGGGGAAAACAGGCAATAATTTTGGTACAGAAGAAAAGAAAGAAAAAGAATGACTAATGACTACTAAATGGGTAGTGTTAAGGGTCCTACAGATTACACATAGTTATGGTGATTGATGCATGAACTATGAGAGCAAGTGTTATTATAGAAGGAATAAAGAATAAGTGCCTATGTGAGATCTATTTTTGAGACCATGGCCATAAGATAGACTTTGAAACCTTCAGCTATTTCCTTGCCACACATGCATATTTGGAAACTTTCCTTTTTCCAGTTAGTAGAATTCAGTATTTCTGTGACAAAGAGTGATGGTGGAGTTATTTTTTTTAGGAAATGTTTACATAGATGGCTGTGACCTCCCAGGAAGGGGCTTTTATAACTAAATGTAAATCCTTTAAAGTAAGTCACTAGGGTCCCAAGTGAACTGTACTAGTTTGAGCTAACAGGTGACAGCTGCTGCACCTGTCACAGGCACGTATCTGTATTCTTGCTTTCTGTCTTTTATCTCTAATTGTACAGTATGGAAAGCAGGCGGAAGATGCCCAACTAGTTAAGTTTAGGAAGCCAAATCGGAACTTGGATGGAAGTGCTACAGTATAAAACTTCCTTCCCGGACCAAAACCAATAAATCAAGGCATCTTGAAGTAAAAGTAAGTCACCCGGGGCCGGACTCATCCAGCACTAATGGAACTTCTGTGGCATAGGGGACCACTCGCCTGCCTGCACAGATGTCACTTACTAGTACAAGGCCTTCAGGATAGTCCTACCTCCCAAACAGAGGTGGTGGCAGAGAGGGCTGGTCCTTAAACCACTTACTCTCTCAATCACTGAAAAAGTTTCCTAAAAGGTAAAGACGCAAGAAACACTCTCTTCAGGGAGGTTCTTCCTTTCATTCCTTTGGGGAGAAACTCAAGATGAGTTTTCATTCACTCCGGACAGCGGTTCTAAACAGCAGTTAAGTACTAACAGGATGGTTAGAGACCCTTGGCTTCCCCAGGTGCCCTCCTCCCCTACCTTCAGGTAACTCTTTAGATGGAGAGCCTGGCACCTCCCTTCCTTCTCTAGTGCCACTGGCTTCTGGCCCGAACCCAAGCCTGCGCCCGCCACCCGGAGCCCTCGCTCGCGGGGTAGTGCGCCCCAGTGCGCGAGCAACAGACTCACGCGCCGCCGCTTGTTGCTCCGGCTGCCGCGCCGTGGGGAAGTGAAAATGAAATTGACTTTTCTGAGAAATGATGAAAGCGGCTCTGCCTGCCAATGAACAGCGGCGGCGAACTTCCGCACCTCGCGGCCAGGCCGCTCGCGCCCTCCCTCTGCCTCCACCTCCCGGTTGCACAAGCTTGAAACAAACACTGGGGAGGAAGGGCGGAGGGAGGAGGGCGGAGGGGGAGGCGAGGCGAGGGAGGGAGCGAGGCAGGGAGGAGGGCGGGGGGTGGGGGGATTTCCAGCCTCAGCTCTTCGCAGTTTCCTCTCCTTGTTTTGCTTTCGATCTGGACTGTTCTCAGGCAAGCCGGGGAGTAACTTTTAGTTTTGCTCCTGCGATTATTCAACTGACGGGCTTTCATTTCCATTTCACACACCCTAGCAACACTTATACCTTGCGGAATTGTATTGGTAGCGTGAAAAAGCACACTGAGAGGTAACATTTTTCAAATAATAGTTGTGACTGTGCGTGTGTTTCTCTCGAGGGCATGTTTATGGGGACTGGAAAGAGCTGTGTGTGTATGCGTGACCTGATGCTTTGACACGATGTTTTGCAGACGGAAAATGCCGAGGTTCATAAATATTAATACCGATTTTTGGAGGAACAGTCGGCGCAATTATGGATCATCTGATTTTAGGGGAAGCAGGTTCTGCTGCTGTTGCTGCTGCTACTGGGGCTGCTGAGGCTGCAAGGAGAAGGAGAAGGAGGAGGAGGTAGAGAGGGAGGAGGAGGAGGAGGAGGAGGTTGGTGGAGGTTTAATTTCACTTTTGGATTTGCAGATGCGGAGAGGTGGCTCCATGGACACAGACCTGCTCTGTGTGATTCTGCGCCCCAGGTGTCATGTGTGTGGGTACATGTCCGCAGGAGTCGGGCCTCATTTAAAACAAAATTGTGTGTGTTTGTGTGTGTTTACAGCCACCGCCGCCACCAGATCCCAAGAAGGAGAGCGGGTCCCTCCCGGTGCCCGGCCGCGGCGCCTCTCTCCAGGCAGTCCCCAGCGTCAATAAGCAGGCACCCGCCGCCGCCTGCTGCCCGCGCCGGGGCCGGGAGGAGCGCCTCCCGCCGCGGCCAAAGGAAACTTAATGGGTCGCCTCGAGGCGGTCCCAGGGCTCGCACGCTCGTGGGGCTCAGGGTAGGGTCGCTGGCGTCCGGTGGCAGCTGCTGGAGCCGGCGGGCGGGCTCCGCGCAGGGCTGGGCGCCGGGCCTGGCCGAGGCGCCCGGCTTCCTGGGGGCTGGGCCGCCGCCACTCGGGAGGGACGTCGCGTCCTCCTTCCCGCCGGCCGGCGTCCGGCCTGGCTCTAGGGCTTTGTCATTGCACTTGTCCCGGGGCGCGAGGGGTTCGGGCGGCGCGTCCCGGGAGCGCGCCGCGCCGAGGGGTCATCTGCCCCGGCCGCGGCCTAGCGCCGGGCGCCTCCGGGTCCCCACAGGCGCCCCCGGGCCGGCCTCGCGCGCTGGGCCTGACCCGCCTCGGCTACGGAGCGGGTGAGGTGGGGGCGGGGAGCCTCGGGGGACCAAGTGGCGCCCTGCGGGCAGGCACGGGGCCAGCGTCCCCTCGGGGTCCTGGGGCGCGGGCGGCGGCGGGGTGGGGACGTGAGTGCCCGCCCCGTGCCCTCCGACCCCCTCTGGGCGCCGGGTGACATTCGCCCGCCGGCCGAACATGGTTGGTCCAAAGCCGCGGCCGCCACTTCCTTTCCGCCTCGCCAGCCGGGCTCGCCCACCGAGCGATGCCGGCCGCGGCCAATCGCGGCGCCCGCCCGCTCCCAGCTGCACGGCCTGGGGGCCGGCACCGGAGAGCCGCTCCGAGAGCCTTTCCAAGTGCGAAGGGTTTGGGTGTAACTCATCCCCTCCCCGGGACGCGGCTGCGTCTCCCGTTGGCCCCAGGTCTTGGTGCGTTTGCCACCCTCACCCTCTCGCCCCTTAGAAGGAGGAAAGGGAAGGAAGGAGGGCTGGCAGCCCGAACCGGGAGCGAGGACTGTGTTCAGGCACCAGGTGAGACGCCCGGGTCAGCCGGTGGAGGCTGGACCCTTGGTGATGGGCTGTAAATTTGACTCCTGGGACTGGCAGTCGAGGTTGCTATATATTAGCCGGGTGGATTTCACTCCTTTCAAACCCAGTAGTGTTTGAAACTTGGGGACATAGTACCCGCTCCCTCCGCCTTCAGCCTCGTTCCAGTGTGGGCACTGGGTAGTGCTCCTTGTCTTTGGTTATGGAATAAAAAAATGCAGCCTCTGTCTAGATGAGGAAAAGTGCTGCTGGCCCTTGGCTTCTGCCACTGGCCTCCCCGTGGCTGTGACTTGGTCTGCTTTTGATGAATGGCTCGTGAGGGTGGAGGATAGTTATATTTCCTGTTGTGAATTTTCAGGAATCACCAAGGTTGCTGTCAAGCCTGCAGTCATTTATTAGTTTCCAAATCGTCTGCAAGTAACATTTGAACGAAGCTGCCTGCACTTTCTGGTGGTTCAGGACAGGTGCAGACAGGGGTCTGGTAACAGATTGCCTGTGAAAGGTGGATGGTCTTCGTGTTACACAGACACACATTTCCCTGCCTGGGATTCGAGGGTGACCCTGTTTAACTTTCTCTGTTTTTCCTCAACTCCCATTCTTTCTTTTTTAGGGGAAGGGGGTGTGGGTGTGGGGAGAAAGGGAAAAAATAAAAACCTAAAATATCCTGGAAAAACTTGTTTTTTCTAAGGCAACTTCTGCAGATGGAATATTTAGGACTTAAACAGGCATCTCTAGGTGTAACCTTGGAACATCTATTGATTGATGTAGCAAAGTCCAGAATTTCACTGTAATTAGTGAATGATTATAATTTATAACTTTGCCTGTTGTGTAAGAAGTTAGATTTTGGCTTCTTCCATCCAAGAGTTCCTGTCATGATTTGTAACTGCTTCTTAAAATTAAACATCTACATATTTCATTCTCAATGAGTTTTTTTTGTTGACCTTCAAAAGTTAGAAATTCACATATTCCAGACTTACTTACCTGTAAAAATGTCATCATAATAAAAGTAAGGTTTTGTAGTCAAATCTGAAGCAAACTATGGTCAACTAAGAGTTGTAAGTCCTGACAGTTCTATGAACTATAGCCCTATTTTTCTCTTGCCTGCCTTCTGAAATACTCTATTAGGCAAATATTTAACATCCCAGAGCTAGTTAAAGTGATTTGAACTTAGTAGTGGAAAATTTGAAACTTTGGATGTTCGACATTTGATATGTATTGATTTTCTTGTGCTATGAAGGACATTTCATTTTTATTCTCAGCATTATCTAGTAGTATAAGTTATGATGTTTTTAGAGCATTTTCACATAATTGCCTTTTGATAGTGAACAGACCACTAAACTATAAATGTGATATCTGGGTCATGTTCTCTTATCTGCCTTCTACCAAAAAGAGCTTAAAGTAGTCAAGGGATTATTTATACATTTAATAAATATTCATAGAATATTCACTGTGTGCCAGACACAGTACTAGGCTATGCAGATTCAACCGAAAACAAGAAAGCCAGCCACTACACTCTATAGAGATTTCATTCTAGTTGGTGAGCTATCAATCATCAACAGCAACAAAAATAAATACAGTAATTACCTTTTGGAGTTAGTTTTATGAAAGGTAATAATAATACTTAACTGTGTATTTATAGGGTGGCTTTTATAAGCAGTTGAGCTACTGTGTATAAAACAATAGTGCCTAAAGTTATAGCAATCTACAAGTGTGAAGGCATTAACTTTGAGAATTATTAAGGAAAAAAAAAAAGCCAGGAAATTGTGACTAGATCAGATGTTAACTTTTTCATATAGCATTTCCTACAAAAAGGCATTTTACTTCTTCTGAGAGTATGTAAGTAATGGTAAAGAATTAAACAATAAGATAAATATTATATGTAAAGTACCAGGAAATTATTATAGTGACAAAATATCAGTGAATTTTTTTCCTGGTAGAAGAAAAGTTAGGCTTTATCCCTGGAGATCAGGGAAAAATAACAGTGGTTGGATCTGTACATTTTCCCTCTTTATATCAGGTAAAACATCTTCTCAAGCATCATTGTGCTTTAGTTTGAATTTTCTTCACCATGTTTCTGACTCTTGAATTCATTGTCTGTTAACTACAGTTTCGCACTTAGCTGATTTCAGTAGTTTGCTATACCATATTTAAAGTGACTTGGTTAACTTGCATTTATTGACTTTTTACTTCTGTGCCCAATACCATAATATGTGAAAATAACGTGATAACATGTGAAAAAAATATAATAGTGTATTCTTAAAACATGTAATATAAAACACAAAATAATTATAAAAGTAAAAAGCTGTGAAATCTCAATTATTATTAATAATAAAAACCAACTCTTTTCATGTGTATTGGACAATACACATGAGTAGGAGGTCAGGACTTTCCATCTCTCTCTGCCCCATCTCCGCCCTTCTTTTGGCCTGGGTGGATCAATCTTTGGTATAGAATGTCAGCTTAATGCACAGTGGCAGTGTTGAGGAGTTGGCTCTCACATTGGGAGTGGCTGGTGGAAAAGAGGTAAGGAAGTTTGGTTAAACTTTGATTTTTTTTTTTTCACAAAGGATGGTGAATTATTGACAGGGTTCAGAGTTAATCTGAAGCCAATATTTTTTATAAAATGCTAAGGGAAATACATAACCCTGAAATCCATCCCTTGGACTGCTAATGCTGGGTAGTAACCTTGTCCTGAGGACTCCTGGCCCTCTCTGGATTCAGGACAAGCAGCAGGCCTGTACGCTCCAGCTTTTTACCTTCTCAAGTCCCTTTAAATTGATTAACCTCTTATGAACTCCATGTTTTGACAGACTATCCCTGAAAGAAGTTGTGTTTATGTAGGAAGCCTTCATGTGCCCATTTTTGTGACTCAAGAGACACAAATGACTTCTGGTCAGAACTCCTGTTTTGACTTGAGAAAACTAGTATCACAAGTCTCCTTTATCCCATTCCAGCCAAATGTAAAGAGTTGGCATGTCAGATAGTCTGGGCAGATCTGTGCTGGGTAAATTCTGTCCGGTTAGCCTTCCTGAGGTACTGAAACCAGTGGAGGACCTACCTTCAGAATTTTTGAGTTCTGCTGTGGATCCAGGGACACCATGGATTATTTTAAATGAATAATTAACTTGCTAAATGTAGTAATTTAAGCAATCATTTTGTTAAATGAACACATCCATCATGCTGTTATTTCATTTATTTATTAAATATTTGTTGACAGACAGCTGAGTACAAGGCTCTGTACTGGAAGATGCATGAACTTAGAAGCCTGGAGTTGACTTTTTAGCTCTTTTATTAACTACCTAGTCACTTCCTCCTTTGGGACCTTCATTTTTACATTGCAAAATGTGGCCAGAGTCCTGTCATCCTTACAGGACAGTGCCTAATCAAAGTGATTTAGGGGAGGGAGCTTTTAGAAACCACGCAGAACCATAGGGATGTGAGACTGAGTAGAGCCCCTTCCACTCCTTAGGGGCCTTACTTGCCCCCACTATGGACCTTTTCTTCCCCAGTTTATGCCAGATCCCTAAGCACAGTCTCCCTCAGGTTTGTGACCAGAGCAAGGCTGGAGAACCATGGAATCTTTTCCCAGGGCCAAATCTTTGGTCTTTGCATTGATTCAGAGGCCATGCCATGCAGAAAGTATGTTTTCGTATTTGAATTAATGTTTTAAACAGGGGACCTGTGGTCACTTTGTATAGGCTCTGCCTATGTTGACCTTGCTTGTACTACAAAAACAGTATTTGTTTTATGGTTGTGATACTTCATGTTTTCCATTTTGAAAAGGCAAGGACTTTGTTTTACAGGTTTGTCTCTTTGTCCAGAAGGCCATAGAGAATTATGTTTGTTTTGATCCTATTCTGGCTTATAGCCCCTTTTAACAGCTTAGTATTCTATTCCATTAGCAAGAAAGAACTAGAGTTGAGCAAAGAATGTCTTCATAGGAGAAACAGGACTTCTGATGATATGTTCTAAACATTTTTATCTCAAGGACAAGAGCAAATTAGTTCAATGAAAATCTTAATTTAGGATTTTGTGTGATAAAAGCCGGTCCAGTAGTTTTCATTAAACAAACATTTTTGAGAGTTAACTACTTGCTATGTAATTTTCATAAATAATTTCTTTCAAGCATACTTAGCAATCTGTTGCTCTGTGTAACAGCATTTGATACTTGCACACTTAATGTGATCAAAGGAAAATGAGCTTATATTTTAATTTGTACTTATTGAGCTTATGATTATCAGGTTTTTTTTGGAGGATCCAAAGAAGTGCTTTGTAGATGGAAAATGCTGTCCTGGCCCCATCAGCTCAGAAGCCTATTGACTTTTCCATTTCATGAGGTTGACATTTTGAGTGAGACAAAACTGCATACAAATTGCTTTATTTCAAGCGATATCTAACATATTATTTTTGAAAAGAGTATTTTTCTTCTCTTTACCCTAGATTTATTGAAGAAGATGAGAAAAATTACAGCAGGGAAAAGTGAGTGTCTTAACACCTGGAAATGGTGTTAGTGAGGTGATGGAATAGGATGGGGAGGGTACTGAGAGTTGGGGGATGGGCGATGAAAAAGAAAAGCAGGTTGAGAGCAGAATAAGTAGTAGCTCTGGCTCCTTGAGTGGAAGAGAAGAGGCCACCAGGCAGGTAGATCAGGTAGATTGGCTGTCTCTTCAGGAATGTCATTGAAAGTTTTGGAGGTGAGGAAAGCCAAATTAGTAGTTAATTAATAATAATTCAGGGACTGGTGGAAATACTGGCGGACCCTCTGTTTTTGATTTTGGAGTTGGATCTTCTTTATCCCAAGAATGGGAAAAACATGGGAAAATTGGGAGCGGACTTTATACAAGTAAACACAGAGTTGTGAGTGGTTGTCACTTGGGCATGGTTTAAGTCACCTTAGAGGTACTGGGGGGTGAAGTATTGTTTGGAGATGGAAGAATTGCTACCCATGATGTGAGGCTCCAAACTCCATCTAAAATTGCCCTTGA